ACAGCACAACCCTCAGGTCCCTACACTACCACTTCGCCCCTCCCCAAACACAGGAAGTAACAAACTGCAACACTCGACAAATCCAAAGTAACAGAACGTCTTGTGGCGGTTTCGAATCCAAGTCACCCGCGAGGTAGGCCCAAAGATGGTTCATCACAAGATAGTTCACTCAACCAAAGATCGTTCATCACAAGATAGTTCACTCGGCCAAAGATCGTTCATCACAAGATAGTTCACTCAGCCAAAGATCGTCCATCTCAAGATAGTTCACTCAGCCAAAGATCGTTCATCACAAGATAGTTCACTCAGCCAAAAAAGTGTCCGCGGAAGTCCGCGCATTGGTTCATATGGCGCTGCAGTCTTTGTTTTGAAGCTCTCTTTCGTTGCTCCAGAAGAAGACTAGGAATAGCACAGTCTGTTAGTTTCGCTTTTATTGTTTTTCACACAAGTAGGGTAACTCTGTTCGCAAAGTCAGCGCTTTTTCGAAAAGGGTACCACTGAATTTTGAGGACACTTTTTTAATTGGCTCAAAGAGAGGAGTGAACTATCTTGTTATACACGATCTTTGGTTGGCTCAAAGAGAGGAGTGAACTATCTTGTTATACACGATCTTTGGTTGGCCAGCATGATGCTGACTAGGTTCATGGAGAACCCTTCCCACGGCTGGAATCTTTTTTTAAAATATGAACACTGTCAGTTTGTCGCAGTATGCCATCACGATGGTTTGCAAGAGTAGATCTTTACCAAAGTTTCTCTTCCAAAAGACTCCATGTATTTCCAGAATAAATGTGTGGCACTGCGGTGGACCCTGGCCTTTGGCAAAAGAATAAAATTGAAGAAACAGAAATTTTCCACCCTTCGGGCAATTGGGCGATTTTTTACAAATGGCTCAACACCTTTTTTGTCCACATAAGAATACATTTCTGTGTGAATTTTACGGAAAAACGTTGGCGAGAGGCCCAGAAAAACAAAGTAAATTTGTAGTTTCTAAGGATACTCATGTTTAGGAAGTCACGAATATTTGGCGGTCATTTTCTCGCTAATGTTTCCCCCATCGTGACCGCCACCTCCTTCAATCGCAAATCGCGACCTCAGGCTTTCCTGTTTTATTTCCCTTCTTTTTAGAATTGAAAATGTGACTTCTTCTTAAGCTCACTCTTTGTTACGAACTGTTTTCACAGTTATTAAAAATTGAGTTATGACAAGAAAGCACTGAGGTTACGAAACATGTCGATTTTTCTTCAAGGTAGATGTGCATTGTTGGCTCATCAAAAGCAAGACAATTAATGAACAAGCTTTAAAGTGAAACCATAATTTCCATATGTCCAAAAAATGTGACTAACGCCTGATTGCACGAAGATCCCTTTGAAACTTTCAGTATTTCTCGAAAAATAATTTTGACAGACTGCTATGCAAAGCGTACGGATCGGATTAACGAGTAAATTTCCTCTTTGGAAAGTGGTGGAACAGAGTTCTCCACGTCGTATGGATACGATAGTAAAACACGACGTACGGATAGGGTTAAGTGGTGGTACAGAGTTCCCCACATCGTATGGATACGGTAGTAAAACACGACGTACGGATAGAGTTAAGTGGTGGCACAGAGTTCCCCACGTCGTATGGATACGATAGTGAAACACGACGTACGGATAGGGTTAAGTGGTGGCTCAGAGTTCCCCACGTC